CACTCTCTCAAGAAAAAAAAACTCTCTAGCAATACACACCAAACTGAGCATGTCCAGAGTGTTTCCACACATGTCTTATGAGGAGATAAGAGGGAGACACTGGAAGAAGGGGAGGATCAGAGAATTCAGGATCAAAGAGCGTTTTTACAAAATGCAGACGATTAATCCCTTAGGTTCCACAGTGAGTATAACAAGCATGCTTTACTACATATACAGACTGATTTTACTGTTGTGGGTTTATTAAAACTTTAAGCTGACTCTATTATATTTTTCCCCAAGTCAACTAACATATGTCTTCAACTTTAGGACAAAAAAAATATAATAAAATAAACCATTCAACATCTTCATTTGCAAGATTTGCAGGATGCCAAAAAAGTGTGGTCACCAAATTTCCTATAAACTAGGTAGGTATAGTAACCCTGACTCTTATGTGAATTTGTCTTGTTCATTCTTGGAAAGAATGCAATTTCTGGACAAACCTAACTTAAGTGAAATATGACTTTCATATGTATGTTTACTGCATATTACTTATTTTATCTATACTTTATAAATGTAGTTCTTACTGATCAGGCAATTCAGAAAAGGTGTCATTCTAGGACACCAGAGAGGTGAAATATAAACAGTGTTATCATCCCTACTTTCCAAGCTCTTCTAACTCTTTCACTGCCAGGTCTGTATGGCGTAGGGACCTACAGCAATACCTCTAGCTGGCCAGGTCCCCCAAAACGTTCACCCCCCCCCCCCCCCCGCTGCCACCACTGGTACACTGACATTTCTCCCCCGCTGTCACCTAAAATACACCCTTTCCACACTGCACTGATCCCCGCAGCACTTCTGTCTATCTGCCTACACACACCCCTGCACCAATCCTGTTTTGATGAATATTACATGCACAAATATAGTGGGGCCTAAAAAAAAATCAGAAGCATCTTCTTTTTATTCTACTGGTCCTATTCTTTCAGAAAATGTATAGTTTGAGAGGTCTTTCACAAACTCTGAAAGCTGTAAGTGAAAATTAAAAAAAAAAAAATTTAAAAATTGCAAAAATGGTCTGACCACCTGAGTTTAAATGTGGGGCACAGGGCCTGGAAGTGAAAGGGTTAATATTGCCTCCAGAGAAAATGCTCTTTTTTTGCCCTTAACTAGAACAAATAAACCTGATAATATTTTGCTTTTATAATAGTCCTGGTCACTTTAATATGACATTTGCTATTATTTCTGAAATAAATACAAATATTTGGGAGTACCATACAAGTTGGTAAAATGTCAAAATTAAAATGTAAATGCAATTATCTTCTAAAAAAGTATCTAAAATATAGGACTGTGTGCTACAAGATTCAGCTTCTAACTTATCTGCAAGGAGATGACATTATCCAGACCAGTGGTTCCCACACTCTGTCCTCGGGTACTCTCAACAGGTTGGTGGAGATTTACTAAAACTAGAGCACGCAGAATCTGGTGCAGACGTACATGATAGCTTGTTCAATTAATCCTTGGCAATGCGATTCAACTTGCAGATAGTGTATGTCTTCATCAGGGGCTTTATTGTCACTGACAATTTCTGTAATACATGTATATATGTGTTGATCTATACATGTATTACAGAAATCGTCAGTGACATTAAAGCCCCTGATGAAGACATGCGCTACTTGCAAGCAATGCATAAGGAAAGCTGACACTCCAGTGCAATGGCTATAATCAAATGCTCTTTATTAAAGTTTGTGTGAAACAGTCATGTAAAAAGCTAAAACATTTCTGTCATCAGGCCGTAATCATGGCTAACAAATTATGCAGTATAAATTATGCATACATAAGAAGACTTTTTCATATGTATGCATGTTTTATACTGCATCATTTATTCCTCCCTGCTGGAGTCATGTGGTCCTGGGAGGCAGGATTGACAATTATGTTTGTACTATTTATTAGAGTCATGTTAACTTGTTTGTCAGCCATGATTAAGGCCTGGTAGCCGAAACACGTTGACTGTTTCACACGAAATTTAATAAAGAGCATTTGATTATAGCCATTGCACTAGAGAGCCAACTTTCCTTATGCATTGCTTGAATATTGGAGGATAACAAAGACCTTGCTAGCTGGAAGCCTGTGCCTGCAATCTGTTGATGATTAACACCTTTCTGCCCGGCCTATAGTAGATTGATGGCCAGGCAGGACACTCGTCATTGTGACTGGGCATCATATGACATCCTGTCAAAATGAGCTGCTCACGCGGCCGCCAGACTGCGGAGCAACGCGATCTTTCACTGGCTGAGTCCAAGGGACATAGCTGATGACATATCGCTACACCGGCCCATTGCCAATGTCATGTGACCGCTGTGACCAATCACAGCAGATCACATCAATTGTATACAATGGATAGCTTCCTGTCATGCCATCCATTGTATACAGTTATGTTGTTAGCTGTGACTGGTCAAGGCAGTCACATGATACAGGCAGGGCCAATCACAGCCCATCTGTATCATGTGATCAGCTTTGCCCAATCACAGCTAATCACAACAAAAGACTGAATGAATCAGTTTCATTCAGTAACAATGATTGCAAATAACAATTAAATACATTGGTATTAGCAATCATAATGTGTTAAAAAAAAAAATCCTGATCACTTCCCAGAGTAGTTCAATGTTACTATGGTAACATTGTATTGCTTTGGTCACAGTGTGCTGAAAAATAAAATAGTAAAAAAAAATTTAAAAAATGTAATAAAAAATAAAAAAAATAATAGAAACATTTGAAAAAAAAATACAAATTCCATTATTATTATTATTTTCACCAAAGAAATGTAGCAGAATACATTTTGACCTAAATTTATGAAGAACTGTTATTTATTTGCAATATTTTATAACAGAAACGAAGAAAAGTGCATTTTTTTCAAAAGTTTCTTTTTTTGTTTTATTTAGCAAAAAATAAAAACTAAGTGGTGATTAAATACAACCAAAAGAAAGCTCTATTTATGTGAAAAAAATTATAAAAATTTCATATGGTTACAGTGTTGCATGACTGCGCAATTGTCATTCAAAGTGCGACAATTCTGAAAGCTGAAAATTGGCCTGTGCAGGAAGGCGGAATAAGTGCCCGGTAGACAAGTGGTTAAGGAGGTAGTAGCTCTGTTTCACCTGTTCTAGCCTAAAAGCTATCTGCAAGTTGAAATGCATTGGGGCTCTATTTTTCTACATCTGACACTCCCCTTTTGAAGCACTGGACGTATGTTTCAAACAATGGATCATTAGTATTTTATATGTTTATATGATCTTGATACAATATGTGTTTGTGAAATTGATATAGCCCCATGAGTAATTTTTTTAATGTTTTGATATTGAATAAAAGCTTGTAATTTTTACTGTATCGAATGTATATTTTTTTATATATTTACATTGGGTGCCTTAAATTCCTGGGGAATTCCCCAGTTTTGAAAGATTTTATTGATTTGGGATTTGGCACTACATTATTTTGGTTGAATAAAGGAACCTGTAATTATAAATCCTGAAGGTTGATTGGTTTCTCTGCAGAGTTACGCCAAATTGTGCACTCTCCAGTTTTAGTAAATCAACCCTGTTGTGTTTTAGGGAATTTCCTTTAGGTAAAATAGCGGTCATAAATACCGAGATGTTGGCATTGATGTAAAGCACCTGCAAGGTGAAAGCAAGCCTGAAAACATGATTTGTTGTTGGGTGTACTTGAGGATGACACAAATACCTACTTTCTTTAGCCTACACACTGATTTTCACAAAGTCAAGGGTCTCAGGACAAGAACACATCTTTGGTACAGCTAGCCACAAGTTAAGACTGAACTCTGGGAACAACAAATTTTACTTTTTTTCATCTCAATAACTACAAAGGAGATAAATTATCTTTGTATGTAACAAATATCTTTGCAAACACAGATATTAGCTTGTGAAAGTAATGGTGAAATCATCACTGTGCTGCACATAGTCTGTGCAGAGAGCAGCCCAGGGGGGGATCCACAGCCTGTGATCAAGGCTATCTGCTGAAACGTGTTCGTTTTTTTACTCATTATGATGTGGAAATAAAGCAATGTATATGGACTTGGAGTTACCAGCTCTTCTCTGCATTTCTTCTTTGGAATGTACACTGAGCTGCACAGGCACCTATGTGCCAGGATGAGTGCACTCAGGAAGTGACAAGTACGCTGCGTCAACATGTATGTTCTGTAGCTGATGAAAATGTTTGTAGCCTGAACAATGGATATTATTGCAGCTAACATATCTAAGAACCTGAACATTGCAATATATTACTTTTTTGTTCTAGGGTTAAAATATGTAAACCCACCAGTTCATATTCTTAATATGTACCTGCTGTACCATGTACTTTTATGAAAATGTATTCTTTTCTCTTTATATTGCTTCCTTTGTATGAAATCCCTGGTGATCTTGGCAGTCCCTCTGCTTTCCTATTAAAAACTGACTATACTAGACAGGAGAGCACAGCATGGTCAGTTCTCTCTGTGCTGGGAGCTAATCCAAATGATCAGGTTTGTGCTCACATGCCCCCTCCTACACAAACATTCACTAAGAAACCAGTGTGCTTCTGTTTCTCCTCTTCCAGCTCTCTGAGCTCCTTAGAGAACAGAGGGTATGTGATCACTTACAAAAAAGCGGAAAAAAAAGGTATCTATAATGTTTTTTTATATGTATACACAAATGTTTTGCCTTTTAGTTCTATTTTAAACTGAATGTGTTGTTTTACAAGGTGAGGGTTTACATATACTTTAACTCATCCTATAGGCACATTCTGCTAAACTGAGCATGCATGTTACAGTAATGATACAGTTTAACATATTTACGTAAGTTCATTGTAATCGTGTTAGTGTATTTCTAGCAAAATACCAAAACATTGTGGTTGATATGGTTTCAGTTCCCCACCCCCAATTTTTTTTTCTCTCATGCCAGGATTTTTTAAGACACTGATTATAGTTGTAGTTGTTCCACAATTCTTGTAAACAGCTTGAATACTACCAAAGGTTATTAGAGGTCTATTGAAAGGGATTCTGTTGGCAAGTCTGTAGGTTGTTTTCCATCATCAGTAACCTTGGAGGGACGCTGCAAATAAAAATAAAAAATTTATGAAATTATAATTTTCCAAGAAAATCAAGGGTTTTAGGACAGCCTATGGGCTGTCTGCTATGACAATTTAGGAAACATTATGGCAACTGTGTTTTAAATCTAGAAAAAGCTAGGAAAACCTGTATGTTGCTCTCATAGCCTTCATTAGAAATCCCCCCCAACCCCCCCCCATACCACAGTCTGCAAAGGACCTGCAAAGCACATAAACTCAGATTTAACTCTTTATTAACATGCCAATTATAAAGCACCATATGACATCCCAGAGCAGTGGTGTTTGGGATCCACTGCCAGATCCCCTCTAAAACTTTGACACACAACATCACACACCACAAATTTGAGCATCAGCTTTGTAAGCCCCAGCCCACTCCAAGGTCATTTTTCAGCTGTAGAAGCTGAGTATCCTGCTGGGTAATAACATGATTTGTCTTTAAAGTGGCATTAGAGGTTCAGCTTTTGCACAGATCAGCCCCCAATCCTCTTTTCAGATCCCTAGCTGGCACTCCTGGCTCCTTCCCCTTTGACCAGTGCCCCAATAGCAAGACACATAAAGTCATGGCTCCCCCCCCGCCCCCTGTTATCTCCCCATTGGCTCACTAGCTGTGATTGACAGCAATGGGAGCCAATAGTTTCCACTGCTGTCCCAGTCAATGAGCTGAGGGAGTCCCAGGACAGCCAAGGCTCTCATGCACATTGCTGGATCAAGAGGGAACTCTTCAAGAGGGTAAGTATTAGGAGGGCTGTAAGGGGAGCAGCACACAGAAGGTTGTTGTACCTTCATGCATAGAATGCATGAAGTTAAAACACCTTCAGCCTTTACAACCACTTTAAATCTATTCCTCACCACCTATTTCTAAAAATCTGGCTAGAAAAAGAATCTGTGAATACTCAGTGCTGGAGGCCCAGGTTTACTTCCTACCAGGGATCTAAGTGCATGAAGTTAGCACGCCCCCTGATACTTACAGTATGTTAATTTTCACCAGCTTTGTTACAGTAGGGTGATCCCTTGCACTTTGTTGGATGCTGTATTGGGCAATCCACAGGGATGCCCATGGACCACAGGAGGGAAGGGTTTAATAGGACACCTGAATGTGATTTTGCAGTGAGAGGCCTCCAGATTAGTGAGGCTGTAAGCAAAGCTATGTATTGGGCCCAGAGGGGACCAGACTGAGGAAAGGGGCCCACAGGACAGCTAATGCTAATGGCAACAGCAAGGACTGGGTTAAATGAAGTACCTGACCAACAGTCACCCATGAGGACTAACGGGACCCAGTGAGGTGCCCTGGGGACATGTGCTTAGAGGCCACAATACACACAAGACATTGCATCCCAGGTAATCCACCTGCTTTCCACTCTCCTCTCTGTTCCAATTATCCAGCAAATTGATCCACCCCCTGTGTGTGTGTTTCGTTACCCTTCGCTATTTTTCTATCTAGCAACAGAGCTACTTTAACAAATAAAATGACTGGCATCTATGCTTCATGATTAAGGAATTAATCTAGACTGGATAAATAGAATATAAAAATGTCCATGGTGCAAAATACAGATATTGATATTTATACAGAGAAAACTATTTCCCTTGTGATGAAAATTCAAGCAGTAGAAATATTTAGCGTGTGCAAAAACCTCAGTGCTAAATGGATGTAATAAAATACATAAAAAGCTAAATCAATGGTGAAAAACTAACTGAATAAATATTCATCCTACATAGTTAAATAGTGCACTCCAGAGCATGAAACATAGATAATATAATGCAAATTCTCAAACTACTGTTGCCACAACAATATAATGTGAAATAAACCCTTCACAGTGGCGCTATAGGCTATAAACATAAAAAAATGTGCAAAACATATAAATCATCAGGTGAAATAGTGCTTGATAGGATTAGTCTATAATATCAACAGTGCAAATAAAGTGCTCCAACTGTCCATAGACTTGCTGCTTTCCACCCAAGACACCACAAAGTGTTTGTGAAAAATCACTCCCCTCTGGGTAAACACTCACCGGACCTACATGCCTCCCACTTTCATGGTTGGCATGATTCACTTTGAGACTCCACCTAAGGTTTCTGATGTATTTACCTTCACAGAACTCCTCATTCCATTCCACCAGGTATCATCACCATGGAAAAATAAAAATAACCTCCAATGGTACAATAACCAAGACAAAATGCTTTATTATAAAATAGAATGCCACTCACAAGATAAAGTGTATTAAAACCGCTCATCATATACATATGATATGACATATGTGGATAGGTGTCAGGTGTGATAGTATGGTAATGACTCTCACCACCAAAAGACCACTGAATTTGCATTGCCATATGACTTCTGGTTCCGGTACTGACGTCACATCCAGTTGCTGCACAGCCACGTCCCAACGTGTTTTGTCACTTCCGACTTTGTCACAGGGGATGGCTGTATGGTGCGGCAACCACCCATATATACACTCCTCCTCATCACACTTGGCTAATCACTACCGCTAGACAACGGAGCACAGTACTAACCAGCCAATATGTTAATATAGGACACTGCACAATCCCAATGGTTTATCCGACTGTGCATTTAACCCCCATATTGCCGGAATATAACAAAATAAAATACCCCCACACTGAAAGACCAAATAAAAATAGAAATGAATACCAATAATGGGGTAATACAAAATTAAACTAGACCATCAGGGGGGATATTTTTACATATAACCCAATTACCATAAGCCATATTTTATAATGAGGAGGAGGTAGATTAACATAACTTCTGCCATAGCATGACAACCAATATTTGATAATACATAAATAAATACATTAAAATCTTAACATCCAGTTAAAATTCCATATATGTACACTATCTTTAAGCCCATTAAATATATACTCTACAAATCACTTATAAAACAGTTGATATCCAGCTATATATTCAAGCCTTCAGGTGCTAATGTATGTACAGTAAAAATCCATGTTGTTTCCTTCTTGGAGAGGTCCCTGATTCTATTGGACCCTTCCAAGAGGGAAAAAAACCCTATCGACCCCCCAAAATTGTAATTTAGATGGATCCCTAGCATGGCACCGTGAAAATGGTCCAATATACTATGGAATCTGTACCCCTTCATTATATTTTTAATATGTTCAGCTATTCTTTTTAAAGGTCATTTATTGCATCCAACAGAAAACAACCCACAAGAGCAATGAAAAGCATAAACCGACGCATATGTGGTGCAATCACTGTTTGAATATGCGTTTCGGGACTTAAGTATGTATTCGTATTTGCACATAAGTACAGGGGGAGGGGAGATCTAAATTCTTAAAATTATTTTTTTTTCCATAAAAGTTTATTTAGAAGTGACAACATGTTACAGGAAAATATAAAGAATCAGGTCATAGATACAGCTTAAACCAAAATACAGGAAGAAACAACATGGCAGAGTGCGACACTGTGGATAACAGAAGCATGGCAAATTACGGCAGAGATAGGCCTGTAGTACTCAAGGTTCAAAAATGTACAATAGAGAAGGTAATAACAGCTTACTTCCACCAAGTGAATATTGGCGTACTGGCCTATGCATGGAGGAAATGAACCTTCAGAGCCTAAACCAAAAGCAGTGCGCTATCATGAGGCCAAATGAGCATCGCAGTATAAGAGAAGATGTCATGAGTACCATTGACTATCCTAGAAGATATAAGCTAACCATACACCAAGTAATCCTGGATAAAATGAAGACTAAGCCTGATCGAAGACTAAGAGGTTGTCGAGAAAGAAAAGAAAAAAGGGGAATAGAAAGAAAGAAAAGAATAAGAAAAGGAAAAGAATGGGAGTCATAGTAGAGAGAGAGAAGAGAAAGAGGGGAAAGAAAAAAAAAAAAAAGGGGGGGGGGGGAGAGGAGGGGGAGAGGGAGAAGGGGGGATAAGAGGCCAAAAAAAAAAAAAAAAAGGGGGAAGCAAGGGAAGCGAAAGGTCCGGGCTGCGAAGTGTGTGTCAACAGTGTTAATGGAGATCATAAATGAAAGTGTCAAGAATTTAAACACTCACCAAAGCTAAGCAGGCAAATATAAATTACCGGAAAGGAGGTCATTACCACGCAGATTATGAAAGAACCAAGGGCATAACCAGAGGTAGGGCTGAGCTCGATCAGGTATCCCGACCCATGAGAGATCCGAATTCAGGGGTAGTTACAAAGTGGGTCCAGCAAGCCCAAACATGTGAGTATTTAGTTGGCATGTCAAGTGCAGTCGCAATCAGTTCCTCCATTTCCGCCACTTTGCTTATTCGATTGAGCCAATCGCGTATAGTTGGGGGGTGAGTGGAGCCCCATAGCACAGGAAGACAGAGTCGGGCCGCGTTGATCATATGCATCGCTAGGGACTTGAAATATTGACTCCTAGGAATGGGGGTATGATGAAGCAATAGCTGAGCAGCAGAGAAAACTATGGGCAAAGTGGTCACTGAAGTCACCAACCGGTGGACCTCCAGCCAGAATGGTTGAATAAGTGGACAGGACCACCAAATATGCAAGAAAGAGCCATCAGGTGTCCCACATCTCCAGCATACATCAGGGACAGAAGAGTTAAACCGATGAAGTCTGGAGGGAGTACGATACCATCTAGTGGCTAATTTGTAGCCATTTTCCTGCGTCAAAACATTATTCGAGCAGGAGTGGGAGTACATAAAAATGCGGTCCCAATCCGACTCCGATAAATCCGTCTTTAGGTCTCTGTTCCACGCACGGCAAGAGGGGAAAGAAGTGCAAGTCCTGCTGTCCCCTAGGAGAGGATAAATCTCAGAGATCAAATGCGTCCGCGGTTCGGATTTAGAGCATAAGGATTCAAATGGGAGTAACAGGGCGAGTCCAATTATGGCGGGATTTATGGAAAAGCAGGAAGTGTCTAATCTGAAGAAAGGCCCAGAGAGGGAATTCGCGGATATTCAAGCTAACCTTCAGCTCCTGTAATGTTTTCACCTTGCCGGAGTGAAGAAAATGTTTTACTAGAATCTGATCGTGTGGCCAGTAATTTGATAAAAAATCCTTGTGCAACCCTGGGGGAAAATCTGGATTCAGGCGGAGCGACGTCAAGGGACTAGGAGAGTCTGAAACGGACGACGTTTTACAAGCCTTGCGGAAAACTTCTAACGTGGGACCTATCAAAGGATGGGAGAGGAGAACCTGAGGTGTGTGTTTCGGCAATAGCCAAGGGATCGATGGTAGGGGAGTGGGCGAAAAAGCCTTCTCCAAAAGGACCCAGTCTTTGGAAGCAGAATGAATGTGCCAGTCGACTATGCGGGAAAGATGACACGCCCAGTAATAGCGGTGTAGGTCAGGGAGCCCAATGCCCCCGCTGAGTTTGGGACGAGTTAGCTGAGAGAACGAGACCCGCGGACGCTTGTGATTCCATAAAAAGAATGAACATAGTTTCTTACAAGAAGCAAAGAATGTCATTGGAAGTAGAATTGGCAAAGTTTGGAAGAGATAGAGGAGACGCGGAAGTATATTCATTTTAATAATTGCAGCCCTACCAAACCAAGAGAAGCAAGGGCGATGCCACTTGTTTAGGTCTTCCTGTATGACTTTGAAAACCGGTACGAAATTTTTGGCATAAAGGTCTTTTGGCATAAAGGTCAAAATTATTTTTATTATTTATTTTACTTGAATCTTTTTTACACTCTCTCTTTAATTTATTTATTTTTTTATAAACTTTATTACTTTCACAAGGGATGAACAACATGGGCCATGACAGGTCCTCTTTATGGAGTGATCTGGGGTCTATTAGACCCCAAATCTGTCCTGTGGCCTCCAATGCAGCCGATCAGACACAGATCAGTCTGCCCAACTTATTACCTAGCCACTAAGGCCAGGTAAACAAAAAACCAAAACCATAAGTGATGAAATCTTTGTCACATCTGGTTTCTGACGTCACAGAATGGGAGGAATAACATTTCTCTCTGTGTAGTGCCACCATTGCCACCAGTCGCAGCGACCCTGGGAAAGGTGGAAGTGGGAGGGGGGACACCATTCCGCCACCTGCAGGAGTGATCGAGTGGCTGTTCAGCCACTCAAATCACTTCTTCTGTACAGAGAATTGTGGGCAGAAAATATTGCTACTGGGATGATACCAACAGGTGCAGGAATCAGGATGTCATATGATGTCATACTGACAGGAAGTGGTTAAATGAAGCTAGTATAAAAAACAAAACAGTAACAAAAAATCTCTGATATAGTTGCTTCCTATGATCCCCTGCACAACAGCACTCAGACTGGAGCAGTTCTGGTCAATGCTAGTGCTTTGCATAGTGCTATCAGTTTAGGCATGCTTACAGGAGGAGAGAACACAGAAATGACATCACCAATCTCCTGTGACCTCTACCCAATCAGCAGGCTGGGAAAGGAAAAGTGACTGGGGGCTTTTTTGTAATCTTTTCAGATAAAAATGAAAAACTCACCATTGTTTTAAAAAATTGATTCATCTTGCTTTTCTTTATAGTCTTCTTATCAGTCTCAAGTCCAGCAAAATTCGATTGGCTCATTCTGGGACTTTGATTTTGGTCTTCATATGTTGGGCAATTGGCAGTGGAAAATGTTAAAGCTGAACATAAAAATAAAGACAAATAGCTGAACAACAGAACTACATGCAAGAAAATACTACAATTAGAAAAGGGCCATTTGCATAAAACATTAAAACACTGGTATGCTATTTTAAGAAGCTTAGGCTCCATAGTTGCAATGCCTATGAAATGTGTTGGCCTTGGACCCTTTGTTTCCTGGGTAATTTTTACAATAAAGCATTGTTGCCCAAATGCCAGGAGCATGAGAGGTGACTGATGTCAGTTCTCTAAGCCAAAGGAACAGAGTTACAAGATATTCTGCTTAGAGTAAGATAAAAACTTCTTTATGGAATTGAACGTGTTTATGAGATCTAGTAATGTCACATTAGAAGATAAAGACGTCTGCTTGCTTGAGAAGTTAGAAATCCTTACATTTAGGGTAGATGAGAAGAAGTTTGGGGTAGATGGGAAGAAGTTTGGGGTAGATGAGAAGACGTTTAGGGTAGATAAGAAGCTGAACTGAAGCAAAAGTGTGACTTTTCAGATAAGGATGTGGAATTAATATGGTGGCTGAGCGTGACTCTGTTATCCTCGTGGAACCTTCCTGCTAGCTCCTCCTATGGTGGGTGTAGCACCACTATTGGAAAGGTTCCAGAAAAATGGTTTAAAAGCCGGGAGTAGAAGCGAGACCAATAGGACGCCCCCTAGTGGCCGGAGGATGCTCTGACTCTGGGATTATTGCCAAGGCTATATGGGCTCATAAATTGTTTGCGCTTATGGCTTCCCCGTGACCCCCTGGGCAGTATGGTTCCAATGGGATTTGTTCTCTCCCACTTCCACATAGCTTTAGTAATGTATTAATTCTATGCTGTGATGCTGTCAAATGATGTGTCTATTTCATGCTGTAATGCTCACATTATTATTGGTGTGTGTTATTATCAGGGGTGGACTGACAACTCATGGGGCCCCCGGGCAACAGGGGATCATGGGGCCCCTGTGTCCTCACCCACACTCAAATCACAACCAAAAAAGCCTATGAAAAGGTACCAGGGGCATCTCATGGGGCCCCCTACTGACCCCGGGCCCTCGGGCAGTGCCCGAGTTCCCAAATGGTCAGTCCACCCCTGGTTATTATGCAGATTGTGTTGACTATAAGATATATACTCCTGTTTGTCGTGTGAGAATAAAAGTTGAGGTTTTGACAGTGCAAGAATATTGCAGTTGGATTCTGTTATTTCTTGGAGTGCCGAGTGAATGCTATGATGTGCCAGGGCAGGTATTCATTAGAGGGTCTTTTGTATGCGTAGAATATGTAATGGTGTAAATGCTGATTAAAAGTACCTGTATGACTATGTTGATTGTGTTGATTGTCTGTGTGAATATGACTTGCTTTTAGTTATTGCACCCAGCATTTGCCGTTACAATAGTTTATGAACAATCAGGACCTCGTGGATGAGGTAAGCCTCATGAATGGCTAAGTTTGTTCATCTAAGGCAGTGGTCTCCAAACTGCAACCCAGGGGCATGCTTTTACCCAGCCCTTGGGGCATTATTCTGTCCACTGACACCAACAATTGGAATTGGACTTGGTTCCCCCCATTTTCTTCCAATGACACCAACAATGGGGCACAATTCATCTCAATGACACCAACAATGGGACACAATTCCTCTCAATGACAGCAATGATGGGGCACAATTCCTCTCAATGACACCAACGTTGGGACACAATTTCTCTCAATGACACCAACAATGGGGCACAATTCCTCTCAATGACACCAATGATGGGGCAAAATTCCTCTCATTGACACCAACAATGGGGCAAAATTCCTTCCACAGACACCAACGATGGGGCACAGTTTCTCCCAATGACACCAACAATGGGGCACAATTCCTCCCAACAACTGGACACAATTCCTCTCAATGACACCAACGATGAGGCACAATTCCTCTCAATGACACCAACGATGAGGCACAATTCCTCCCAATGACTCCAACAATGGGGCACAATTCATCTCAATTACACCAACGATGGGGCACACAATTCCTTTCAATGACACCAACGATGGGGCACAATTCCTTCCACTGACACCAACAATCGGTCATATGTCCTTCCACTGACACCAATGAAAGGGCAAAATTCCTCTTAATGACACCAACGATGGGGCAGTATTCCTACCACTGACACCAATAAAGGGGCAAAATTCCTCCTGAAACCAAGGATGCGGCAGTATTCCTACCACTCACACCAATGATGGGGCATTGTTTAGTCCCACTGACACCAAGATAATTTCTACTCCCACTGGCCTCAGTCCGGCCCTCCTGCAGTTTGATGGACAGTATACTGGCCCCTTGTTTGGAAAGTTTGGAGACCCCTGATCTAAGGCTTAATTAACCACATCAGCTGTGCTATATATCTAAGTATGTGTTTAGACACAGTTACACACATTTAGGCTTATCAAACATTTTTGACCGTGGAACACTCCTCTCCTTAACACACTGGTCTTAGGTTTTTTTCTGCCTCTAAACGCCTATAAAACACCTACAGTATGTGTGCATGGACACATAAGCTAACATTGAGAGGCATTTAGGCTAGGTTCACACCTATGCAGTTTGTGTTTGATCTGTTTTTGCGGTGCGTTTTTCCACATGCATTTTTGACGCGGTTTCCTTTTTTGTTCTTGTTGCTAGGCAGATTAAAACGCAACAAAAAAGCAGCAAAAACACATAAAAAATGCAGCAAAAACGCACTACATGTTTTTCTGCAGTATTTCCATTGAAGTCTATAGAAGCAAAAACACAACTTTTTGCATTACAAAACCTCCTAATCCTTTCCAAAAAACGCATGGCGAAAACACGGGGATGTGAATGTGTCCCATAGGAAATCATGTTAAATGGACTGTAGTGCGTTTCTGCAAAACACAAAACGCTGCAGAAACACTTAGGTGCGAACCTAGCCTTAGAGGCAGAACAAACCACAAAACGCCCCCATAAGCGGTATTTACAACTTCATAGTTAGTCTGGCTGAAATAAGACAAAACTTCCTGTGCACAAGTCCTAATTGGAAAACACATTGTACTGCATCACTGTTTTTTTTCATTCTTCTTTATGTTTGATTTGTTTTTGTTTTGTTGTGATACCACCATTTTTGATGGCTATTTTTCTCTGTTGAAAAATATGTAAACTTATAGTCGCTGCCTGTGCTAGCCCTGGATTCATGATTCTTCTAGTTTCTCTTTCCTCCATGTTTTTTTTCTGATTCCTTTTTTTTTTTTTTTGTCGTTTTATGTTCTTTATCCTTTCCTCTAACCTTTTTTCTTTTCTCTTCTTTTTCCGGTACTATGTTGGATTACTGCTGCTATTATTTGGTTCAGCTTTTTGCCGTCCCTCCTTGATGTCATTTATCATTGGACATTTAGTTATTTAGGTAATACAAGTCAGCAGGATGTATTTGTTTATGTGTTATTGTTCTGCTCTGCGCCTGCGTGGGCGTATCTTGAGCTTGTTATATTCTTAAAACAAAACTTTCTTAATAAAAAATATTGAAACAGAAAAATATGTAAACATGTTTTCTAAATCTTATATAACTTTAATAAAAAAATTAAGTAAATCATTTCATGCATATACTGATTTTCAGAATTATATGAGAAAATTAAATAAAAAGAAATATGTTTTAAACAACCAAGGTCCTATCCCAACATTAAATACTATAAAACAATATATTAATAATTGCTTGGATAATTCATTGATATTTAATCCTCAAAATAATATTATTCAACATACAGAACTATTTAAGTATATGGTAAGAAAGAGAAAAAAAAAATGAGAGTAAAAAAAAGTACACAGAAAATATCAGAGCAGGTGTTAAAAATGTTATACTAAATACGGAAGATTATGACAAGGAGATGAGGAGGATTTTGAGTGATAAAGACCCAGGCATTCTCTTATATAGAGCATGCCCATGTTTAAAAATAAAGCATAGCTAAAGTAATTACTAAAGAAGAAGAAGGTGTTTTAAACGGAAAAAGAAGCTTTATATTTGATACCTTTGAGCTGACAAATACCAGTGAAAGAAATACTTCCTTACCCAAAATAGATAAGAACAACCAACACACATCTGGGAGACCAATTGTTAGCTGAATTAATTCCTTACCAGCACAATTAGAAGAAGAAACTTTTTATCTAGCCAATAGTAGCATCCACCCATATGCTTAGCTTAGAGGCAAAAGTACCTTTTGCAAATTTAACAGAAGGTTAAGTTTACAAAAGTATTTATTTTTGCTACGATTTTTTTCTGATTAGTCAGTAATGCAGTTCCATTCATTCTAAATAAACCCATTTGTGAATAGGAACAGATTAGCATAAATTGAAATGTACCTGGAATAGTTGGCATGGAGCGGCTTGCAAAGCTCATTTGTTTGAGAACAGAAGTCTGGTTTGAAGGAGGATGGTCAGAGAGATTGGTGTCACTCATAAACTCCTGTTTTCTAGAAAGCTGCTAAATAAACAATTTGACAATAAATATTGTGCATTCTTCAAATGTCAAATCTTATGTGTGTCTATCTTATTATAACTGCTTCCCACACCAAGAATACACAATACTCATTTGACAGGTTGTACTGCTATTTTGTGGCTTTTCCCTATTTACTGAACTGTGGTAGCCAAAAGTCAAAAGCATATTATTTTATTCCCTGTATTAAAATAGGTCCTATGTTTGAATACTCATGGGTGATTTCACATTCTTATTACTGCTTTAATTAACTTAATATCCACAACAGGTATCAGCAACCAAGGAATAGTATTTGAAGGAACCAGTGTATACTAAATTTTCAGGGCTTTGTGTCCACTTTCATTGCTTAACGATAACAGAAGATACAGGGCTATATGCAGCAATACATGGCAACATAAGTAATCATAAACAATTTCCAGCCTTCTGGCTAGGTTTTCATAGTCTTAGGTGCCTTGTTCAACTCATTAGATCTGGTCTATCAACATGATCATGTCTCTTAACAGTCTCTCAATTCAGACCTTCAGCCTGATCAGTTTCTCTGGCTGTTACCTCCTTAGACACATGTGAGATTCAGTTCTATATGCCTTCTACCCCTCAAATACACATATCCTAGAGACTTTCCCAGTCTCCTACAACAAGATGGCTTCCAGACCATCTGGAAATCCTGGTCTAGAAAAATGCCACAGACTGGGTGCCAAATAATTGTCCTTCCAGATTATGCCTCAGACTATACATTCCGTTGGGACTGTCACCGTAAAAAAGGTAAAAAAAAAAGGGTAAAAGAATTTCTGAAAACTATCCGTAACTCTTTTTTTTAAAAATGTTAATGGTTTATGGGGGCTAATTAAAGTGGAATTAGTTTTCCAGGTATTTAGGACTTAGCAGAGACTGGTGGTGCATATGCGCACATGCGATGGAATTTTTGCATGTGCGCACAAACGCTGCCAGCTTCTGGCAGACTGGCACTATACTACCCTGCCCCATTTCTGCACATACACACACACATGCTTCCTGGGATAGCTGTGCTATACCAATCCTAGAAGGCAGCATGACCAAGCCTAGGCTGAACAAGCAGAAATGCTGGTTTGATGCTCAAAAAGAACTAAAAAAGGTGAAAAATGGACTAAAATTTTTTAGACTTTGTGTAAGAGGAAGGGGGAGGGATAGAAATTGAAAAAGGTTGTTGCAGCGAGCTTAGTTCTGCTTAAAGTATAATAAAGGTTTCAATAGAAGATTTTATTTAAACACAAAATTAAAATGTTTATTCTGCTTTTGGTTTGTTTGGCCATCCTGTGTGAAAAAAAAACACAACAAAGAAAAAGCTTTGGAGAGCAGCTATCACGTACAGGGCAGAATCTTAGCTGTGAATGTGAACAGAATCTTAGCTGTAATTGTTACATATCCACACCCTGCTTGCTAAAGCTGAGAAAAAATCCTTTGATTTTATGTTTTAAAAGGATGCAGAGAGATGGTACAGATAAACAGGTACAACATATGTTGGAGGATTTGTTTGTATCACCTGAGACTAGACACTTCAGTGGGTATAAGTAAATCCAGCCATACATGGATCAAAATTCATCCGGTGTAGCAGGGACCAGCTGAATTTTGATTCATATAGCCAGGAAAGTTGTACAGAAGTCAATCTATCAATCAACTTCTGTACAACCGCCCTGACGGATATTTGCTTCTCGATCAGGTCAAAGCCAGCAGCACTGACGAGTGTATTCATATAGCAAGGAAGTCTAACCCACTATCAGAGTACAACAGCTTGGCGGGAGGATTCCCCCATCTACGTGTGGATGGGGGAATTAGGTAATCCATGGGCTGCTTAAGGGTTTATAACCAATTTAAATTAATCTTGTTTATTAGTAAAAATGTTTACTTTAGGAGCATCCATTAGTACACTGTGAATAAATGGTAAGATGTGATGATGCAATGACCAGGTTGGAGGAAGGTAGGTATTAATTTACTGTAATAGTGATCTGTTGCTTGATTATAGCAGTGAGGATGAAATCTCCACTTCAAATCATTTTTTTTTTTTGATTTGGTAAATGGAGAAGCTTGATTAGATTCCCATCCAGGTTAAATAAAAATACAACCAAAGTTTTAACATTATATATAAGTGAAATAATAACTGGCATCTCATGCACATCCCCTTGAAGCTTAGTGACAGGTCATTTTCTTTACATTGCATTCCTGCATTTTGTGTAAACATCAAACACTAGTACAGGAATGTTCAAGATCAGTCTGTCCCATTTTATATAATATGTTGAGCACCAGGCCTTATGTTACAGGGGTATAATTTTTATTTGTGTGTAATAGCAAACATTTTTAATAACATTGTGCTGAAGGTTTTTAATGGTCACATAAGTACATTAGAGCATCAATTATTGATCTGTTGCTGCACTGAAAGGCAAACGCTCCAAGTTGCTTCAGAATGGTATCAGATGACATCACCAGAATTCCCAATATAAGTATAATATGACATTACTGTGGTTTCATAGTGATGCAGATCACTAGAGAGCTGAAAGTCCAGGAGCTTATTGATTGAGTTCCTGAGCTTAGAACTAGAACTCAATATTACCTAACTGCCTGAGGTTTTAGTACAAAACCCTTCCAGGACCCGTCATGGTCTGATAGTTAGTAAAAGTAGCAAAACTTACTCTCTTAGACTCAGATAAAGAAGATTCAGCAGCAGTTTTTTCATCAGCAAACACTACACTGCTCCTTTTTGTTTTTTTACGAGACCTTCGCATTTTTACTTCTGTTTCACTTGTTAAAGGAACTGGACCCAGTTCATTTCCTTGAGGTTTGGATTTGGCCACTGTCACTTCAAAGTCCATGCTACTAGAAAGTAAATGATATCATGATTAACATGGTCATGCCACAAGAGTGTATTCAAAATAACTTACTCATAAATCATCAACATTTTAATTTTACAAATAACTGTATAATAAACCATGGAAAACAACTGCAAAATTAAAGAGCAACTCCAAGCTAGTCCTAACTATCCAAGATAAATACCTCCGCACACTTTTAACTCTGAACCCAATCACATGTCTCGCAAACTTCTTACTCCAAATCCCAGTAATTCCTTAGTCTATCACAAAAGTTTCCCCAGGTATCAATGTCTCATGTAAAACATAGTTTCCGCACCATGGAAAGCTCTGGACGACATTTTGGAGGGTGATAAGAGGTAGGTGTCATGCATGTTTACATCAGTGTGTATACTGATGATGGCAGTCTATTTTATTGACTGGATACATGGTACTGTATAGAAACAGAATTAATTGACTGTAAGACTGGAGCATGTTGCAAAGCTACTTCCAAGGCAAAACACCTACCAAATGAGCAAGGGAAGACTGGGAACCTTTAAGTGTGCTTCAGTACTATAGACATTTATCAACATCAGCCCCTTTGTTGGTTTTTGTGTTCATGCAGAGCCACAAAGGAAATTCCTTTTGCTAGACAATTGAATCACAGGGAGCAAGTAGATATACAATGCCCAATAGGTCTCATTGACTGTGGGTCCCCCTCTAATCCATGTCCGAATAAGGGAGTATCTCCACTTGGGGTCACCACCCTAACATATAGCAGTAATGATCATGGGAACAAATACTCCCCCCCCCCCCCCCCACCAACCCAGTTGTTCCCTGCAAAAGAGCTGCTGACCAAGGGATTACAATATTAGTTTGAAATATTTAGTTAAAGTGACCCTGCTACAAAGCATTTTGGTTAAAACTGCTTTGAGGGCCAGTTCACACCACATGGGGTCCATTTTTTCTGCATCAAAAATGCATAGATAGTAGGTTATATGTATGGTTTCCAATAGCATAGTTCACACCAGTGCAGTCAGTTCCAATGCACTCCAGTTCCAGAAAAAAAAAGTAGAACATGTTGCATTGTTTCTGCACTGAACTGTATTGGAACATGGTAAAATTAATCAAAAATACTCCCGAACGCACTTAAAATGCACTGGGATGAACATGCCCTAATTTAAGGTGAAGAAATAAGAAGGGAAAAATGCACCAGAACACATCAAAAACCGTAGCAGAAAACATTAAAAATGTGTAAAAACGCACATGCATAAACGCATCCGTAATGCATTTCTATGGTGTGACCCGACCCTTACCTTTAAAAGACGGCAGCAAATACTCACCTTTCTTAGTGCCAATGCTGCCACTCACAGATTAAATCACTAGAATTCATCACCCGAAGACTGAACATCTGAATGCGTGTCAATCATCTGGATCCCCCACAGCTCTCTCAATTCTTCCCTCTGAACTGGCATCACCACTATATCCGGCAGTTACTTGCTGCCAGAGGAAGGAACCAGTGAGAGCTGCAGGGCATTCAGAATATTGACACTCCTGGAAATGTTGGTTTCTCCATGGAATTTAAAGTGACTAGTTCTAGAGATCAGCTCAGACACCAGGAAGGGTAATATGTACTGCCTTTTTTACAGGTAGCAGCAGTTTTAACAGGAAAAAAAAATTGTGGCAGTGTCACTTTAATGAGCTGATAAGACAATCAGTGCACGGTGTGTACAATGTACAGTGTGTACAGTAGTCAGATAAGAAAAAAGGTAATTTTCAGCATTCTGATTTTACAACAGAAAAAAGATTTTAAGCAGTGTGGTGACCTGGTTCAAAATAAGATTTTCTGGTTAAAAAAAAATGCTTTTTGTGCATTTTAAGATTTATTTTCAGTCCTGTGTCAAAGGATAAGCCTTTTGCAAGTGTAGTTGTGATAATAAGACTTTATCTAGTCTGCAAAGGTAATCCAGTACCTTCCACAACATAAGTGTTGAACGACGGCTTGGATGAAAAAGTGTTGGGCAGGTGCAGTCATTTAGGAATATTATATGATTTTATTGTTTAACCAAAAAATGTTAGGTAATGACCATTTTTTGTGATGTTTTACTAGCTACATTGCTAAGGAGGAAACCACTTACAGTAATTGATCGATGGACCATCATCAATTCTATATTTTTCTTCATTTTATTGATAATTTTATACTATTCCTTAAATAATTTTATACAAGTGATACCACACACACATTTTAGTCCCCACAGTCTGGATATTTGCAATGCTGATTTTTCCATCAAATTTGTAACAGATTAAACAGATGCCCTATTTGGACGAATTAATTAATTTATCATAAGGCAGGTTTTTCTGAAGCCATGATTTTCCTTAATTTCCTAGAGAATCATTGAGAGCCAGTGATGATGACAGTGATTCTTACATCATGTATATTTAATAGGTAGACATGTGCACAACAAAAAAAATTGTTTTGTTTCGCACTAACATTAACAATTTCATTGTGTTGCATTAATTCAAATGATTCGTTTTTGTGATCTGTTTCGTTTTGTTTATTCATTTTTGAATAAGTTAGAATTTTCAGATGTAATCCAACTCAAATCGAATATCCAAACATTAGTTAGAAATAAAGTAAAGTATGAATACTTTCAAAAATGAACACTGTATTTTACTTAAAAAATGCAAAAGGAGCAAACAGAAGAAAAAATCTAAATCAAATCAATGTTTGAATACCCTTTGGCTTCAAAACATCAATTCTTTTAGGTACACTAATGCACACAGTCTTTTGAAAGAAATCAGCAATAGTCAGCAATATGTTTACATTTCAAATTCATTTTTGAATTAGATTTTGTTTTTAATTTTGATTCGAATTTGATTTTAATTCAGATAATTTGTTATTTTGGACAAAATTTCATTTTGTTATTGTGGTTTCGGTTTAAATTTGTTACTATTATAATTAAATGAAAATTTCACCCGAATTTCGATTTGGAACTAAATGAACTGCACATGTCTATTAATAAGGCATTTGCTGTATTTGAGAGACTTAATCTCTTTAATGAGTCCACAAACATTAATACCAATTACTTAAAAAAAAATAAACCAATTGCATATGACAAATCAGCACTTTCAATATTTGCACACCTACTAATACAAGTCTATAGTGCGAGGATTGCAAGCATCATTCAACAACGACCTCTAAAGAAATGCAGGATGTTATCCAAGAAAAAAAAGAAAGAAAGAACAGTCAACGTTTTGGTTACCTGTAAAATCTTTTTCTTCGAGTACATTACGGGACACAGGGTATCCTCAAATTCATAATGATAAGGCATGCTGGCACCTTCAGGTGACTGGACACTAGTGAAAAAACAGACAGGAAATCCCCTTATAACCCCTCCCGGTTAGGCCAGGCTCCAGTTTTAATAGCAAGCCATGAACCACCAGCAAGGGGGGGAAGGATCTCTGTGTCCTGTGATATACTCAAAAAAAAGAATTTTAAAGGTAACCAAAATCAGATTTTCTTTTTCACATATCCCAGGAAACAGCATTCATAATGATACGGACTTCCTAAAGCAATGAAATGAGGTGAGGGCACATTGTAACCAACTACCAACCTACCACCTGCAAAACATACTGACCATAAAAAGTGTCCTCAATGCCATGGACATCCACTTGATAAAACTTAGTATAATATGAACCAAAACCCAGGTAGCAGCTTTACAAACTTGGGTTACTGAAGCCTGACTATGAGTAGCCCAGGGAGTCCCAAAACTCCCGGTAGAATGGGCTTTTACCAGAAATCTGTAATCTCAACCTTTAGGAGATAAGCCTGAAAAATGATAAAATTGGAAGCTGATTGACCCTCCTTTGGACCATCAAGAAGCACAAAGAGGGAATCCAACTTTCAAATAGCAGCAGTTGAGTACAGGTAACACACAGGTACAGGTAACACCTGATGGCACGAACCACATTCAAAGTGTGCAAAACTGTGTCCCCCCGCCATCTGAGGATTTGGGCATACCATATCCTGGTTAAGACGGAGCCAAGAATGCACCTTACACAAAAAGTCCAATCATCTGAAGATGCCAGCATAACCCTATAGTTATGAATTTGAAGATGCTCTGTGTCTGAGGGTGTATAAAAAAGAAAACACATTTTTTTTCTGCAAACATACATGCATCAGACCTGTTTGGCTACATAAGTGTTGCATTAGCACCATCCCATTTATCGCCAGTCAAGTTTACGCCAAACAGTGAATAGCATGCCCAACAGCTATCTCATATAAAGGAGTAAAATAGTGACATAATAGCAGATTTGTGTTTTTTTCAAATGTAAATGTTAGTTGAATTACACTCTAAAGTATTGAGAAATTAGCATCTGTCATCCCTTCCCCCATCCTTAGAGTTTGTCATTTAAATAGTATGCTATATTTGGATAGAAATGTCTGCTTGTTGATTGTAATTTATTTCACCCATATAATGATTGTTATATCATTGCATGCCTCACTAGTGTTGATCTCTAACTTTTAAAAAACATTTGTCATGTTTAACAAACCTAAAAAATATTGCTAGTATTTTAAAAACGTTTTAATATTTGTTTGAAAGTGGGGTAGGGGATGTGTCTATTATGTGGGTGTGATAATATTTTTAATGTTGTGTCGTTAAATACCTCTTTTTTTGTCCCACGGTTCAGGCTTACCTACACTCTACTGCAATTCCTTGTATGATGTTACCAAGCTGTTTTGGAATAACTCCCTTGCCTCTGCCCCTACCTACCTCTGAGCACCGTCACTTGGTCACCCCCTGCCCACCTCCCAGTACTGCCCTTTTAAAGAATAGAGAACCAAGTAGCATTTTGTTATGCTAAGT